CTCCTTAACACTTTTGTGCTTTTCTAAGCATATTCCTAAACAAAGCCTGTGCTGCAGTCAACTATTATGTATATAGTATCCATCTAAGGGCCAGCAGATTCTGGGAATAAATGCTGGAGAATGATGGTCTGCCTTTTTTTTTAATGTAAAAAAATCAAGTGGGACAGTGTAATGGAATGTAGGAAAGACTTTGGGAAACTGGACAAAGAGATGCTGGCAAGGGAACAGTCGTCTTCAGACTTACAAGATTGATGTCAGCCTCACGGGGTAAACCAGATAGGAGTCACAACAAGATGAGCTAATTCTACTTTATTGTAATGCTACATTGATAGAATCTTGCAAGTCTGAAAGTACAATTCTCCCTCCTATCTCCTTTACTCCCAAGAAACTAGGGAAGGTTTCTTCTGAGCCTCTTGGCCCACCTACTATCCAGCTGCAGGCTATGCTGTCCCTTATCTGACTGTTCCCTTGGCAGCATCTCTTTGCCCAGTCTCCCAAGGTCTTTCCCACATTCCATTACAGACAGGAAGCATGGAGGACACCATGGGAGATTCTGCAGGCCACCTGGCCCCCCTGAGCACCACATGGAGATCACTATGGCATTATACTATAGAATGTGGCTTCCTATGTAAACCTTCAGAGCACTGCAGGGATATTATTCTCCTATTATTCTAACATGGGAAAAACTCAGCCAGCAGGACTCACTTGGAATCCTATTTCCTGCTGCTCTCTTCATTGAAAGTTCTATCTGACCTGTCCTGTGATCTAATCATAGAACAAAACATTATCAACTGAAGATCAACAGGGTAGAAGTGAGTGTGGTAGGATATTTATGTTTTTCTGACTCTTTGGCTGCATGTCCCACTCTCTTCTCTCTCACTACTTAAAACAGAATACCTGCAGATAAATCTTTAACCAGTTTGGAATACTTGAGATCTGCAGCTCCCCACAGTCTACCTCCTGAACCAAACTTTATGAGATTGGAAAACCCTGACTTTGGAAAAAGAACCAGCTGTGAAAAATAGCTGGGAGATCTGATGACAGATCATTCACTATCCTTGCCCTTGGAGAAATCTGATCAATCCCCTGGGTCACATAGTACTGAATCTTAGTGCATGTCAACTTCATAGGCCACTAAATTTACTTCATGATTCTGGCAATAGATGTGCAGCATGTATCTACTTCCCAAAGAACTGAAATGTGAAGTGGACAATTCTAGTTATATATTTTGAGCAATACAGATCAATTCAGGTAATCATGATTAGCAAGCTAATCAACCAAAGTCATAACTAAGTCTTTTCAGAACATTTCATCTGATTATTCATCAGTTTATCATTTAAAGTTAGCTTGGAGATTACCTGTCCATATCTGCTTCTAGTTGACAATATGCTGCATATGCGATGATATTTTCTTGGCCACATCTTTCAGTAGTCAGAGCACTAACATACAGTACAAAATCAGCATCTCGAACACCTTCCTGGTCTGCTTTACCAACAGGTTGACAACTCCATCCATTTATATTACATACCCTACATTGCTAAGACATTACATTTGAAGAAATCAGTTTCAAATAGTCTTCAACTATTAACTATAAAATATACAAATTTCCCATTATTCTTCTGCCTTAGACTGAAGAAACATTTAGATTAAGATTTTGCACTAATTATTTTTAAGTTTTTGTACTACTGCTTATGGCCAAAGAAAAATAGTTTGATTGCTTTCAAAATATTCTAGACAGCAGTGTCTCAATTCTCAAAGAGCTTTGAAAAGAACCAAAAGATCAGAAAGCAATTTGAAAAAGAAGGAATGTAATATTCAAATGTAGATTTATCATCTTTTTTTTTAGGTTTCCATTTAAAAACAAACAAACTTACAAATAGATTATCTTTAAAAATTCTGGCAACCACCTCTGTTCTAAGACTAGATATTGAAAATAAGACATGTACATATGTGAAATATCTGAGGAAACCATTTGCATACTGGTACAAAATAAAGTAATATTTTTCAGCTTTTTTATCTCTTTATTGAAAATTATGTCAGTGAATAGTGAAAAGAATAATAAAGAAATGGATATTATTTTACTTAATGGAAAACAATTGAAAAACTAGTTAAAACCCATTAGTAAATATGCTACCCATACTGCTGTAGCTTTTGACTTCTTTACATTCAAGTTCAAGGTTGCTTTCATATCACCTGCTAAGCCAAAACCAACCAATCCTTATTATCGTTTAAAGCAATGAATGGATCCAGCCAGTAAATTATATTTTTCCCTCTAATTATCGCTTGTTCAGATTCTCAGATGTCACAGCATGGCTGTCCTCCTTTGGTCATGTGCAAAAGAAAGGTAACAAGTCTCCTTACTACAGACATTCAAAGTACATCAGGCAAATTAAATTGGTATAGGTGTTTTAGCACTCTTCCTAGCAATTTTTGCTAATTAGAAGGAAATGTGGTAGATATGTCACGTTAGCATAAATATTCCCATATGACCTGGATTACAAATTGTAAAATAAGGCTGAGTTACCTGCAAGTGTTCTTCAGGTACTATAACTGGACCACACTTGGTATATTCTGCACAGGCTTCTCGACAGTATCTGTGAGGATCATCCTTCTTCCTTAAATACTGATTTGTTACACACTGTCTTCAATTAAAGCATAATCACATATCTGTGAGTGAAATGAATGCACAGCATAATCCCACACAAAACAATATGCTAATTATAAAAGCTATTAAGTATTAATGTCAGAACTTAAGTTGCTTACCAGAATTGAGCTCCCTTTACACTTGAGAGGTGAAAAAAACATGCTGAACTAAATATGGATCGCAATTGTAAAGACAGATTTTGCTGATTCTCCCTATGAAAAAACACTGAAAAATATACATACCTACTTAACAGGATAGTACCCATAGGTTTCCGAACTTGAAATGCCTTCTCTAAATAAGAAATAGCTTGTGGGAAAAGCTTGTTCTAAACAAAATAAAAATAAAACAATAAAAAGGATTTGACACTTTAAAAAATGTGATTAGCTTTTAAGGAATTAAGTCAAAACTCTAATGACCTTCTAAGCATATTTTTATAGCTATGGACTCAATGGAATAAATTAGTTTTATTTAAAAAGATACAGTAACTCCTCGCCAATTGCAAGGGTTCCTTTCTTGAAAATTGTCATAGTTGGGTAATGTGTGGTTGGTAAATTTAAGATCTTAGGGATGGGAAACAATTTCACCTGATAAAAGATGTCAAAGATATTATGTGTCAAACCTATAATAAAGTAAAACAATAGCATCAAAAAACAATAACAAGGAATTAAAAAAAAACAATAGTCCAGAAAATCACACTGTATATTCTAGAATACTGGCACTTTTGAAAAGATTATTACCTTTACTAATGTTGTCTTTTTATACTGTATCTACTAGTGGATGGTTGAGGCTCAGGCGTTGAAATAAGGGTTTTGAAGAAAGATGAATAGCTGGCTACCTACTTTTGCTTCTTAACTCTTTTTGTATTCTTTTAACAGCACCAGGATATCATTCATCATTCTTCTAAATTTCATGTTGCATTCCATAAAATGATCAATCTCCACCACCTCATCAGCCAAACCGGTTGCATGTTGAAACTGATGAGGTGGGAATCAATGATTGTTGCATAAATATGAAACAGATATCTCCAACTTCAAGGCAGGGAAAAGAACAGCCAAAACTCTACTGATCAAAAGGGTGAAAAGAAATGGCCAAAGATTTAAAGCCTGGTGCTAACATATACGTAGCACTTGATTCTTTTATTCTGCAACAGGCAGATCTATTGTGTATATATAACTTCTTTCTTGATTTTAATACAGCAAAATATTTGTACTGAGTCTGTGGAGCTTCTGCTGATATTGAACACAGGATTGAACTTCTAGACTGCCAATACTGATTTCCTTGGCACTTGTGGAGTTTCATGAATTAAATCTGATAAAGTCAGCTTCATTTTTGCATCTACTTCCTGGTTTTCTTCATCACTGTTTGATGAAACAATAAACTCTAGGAGATCTTCACTTAGCACTTGGGAATGGGAATCCAAGAGCTGATTAACATCACTTGCTTCCATATGTTCAAATCCCTCACCTACCGGTCATTGAACAGAAGCAACATGTTTTACCTCCTCCACAACAGCAGGACAACCAGTGAAATCATTAACAATCTCCACCTAAAGTTTTCTCAAGCAGCATGAAAGGTGGTTTGTTTTATTTCATCCAAAGATTCTGTAATGATAGTGCATAAACATGGCATATCCTTTCCATGCATCATTTAAAGTCAAATTTGCATTATTGTTGATATCAATAATAAACTCAAAGAGATGATGTGCATCTTTGATCCATGGACTGAAATGGTCAAGATGATGTTCGGAAGAAGAAACACTACTTCAAAATTTGTATGAGCAAACAGTAATTCATCTTCAGAATGGTGAGAACCATTATTAAGAATCAGCAATGCCATGAAAACTAAATGGTCATTTTTCAAATAGCGTTCTACTGCACGGATGAAACAGGCTTTCAGTCACTCCATGAATACATAGCAGTCCATGAATTACCCATGCTTTTCTATTTGCTCTCCAGATAATGAGAAGGCAACTCTTGTTCTTACCCTTAAGAGCACACAGGTTAAGGGCTAAATATTACAGCATAGGCTTCACCACAATATTTCTTGAATAACTTTCCCGTATCAGTAGTGTTAGCCTGCTTTGGCAGCTGTGAAACCCTGTCCCCTTTCTACTTCTGGAAATGAAACTGTGATCAAGAATGTCCTTCCAGAAGAAGTCCATTTCATGGGCATTAGAGACTTGTTTATATAAATAAGCTTTTCTTTTATTCACTTCTTTAATCTGACAGAAAAGATCTGTCTCATGATCTGCTGATGCCATCTCTCTGGTCAATTTCATGTTATGGAAACTAGAACATTTCTGCAAGTTTTCAAACTAGCCTGCTAGGTTCTCCCTAGCATCAGGGTTAAATGAGATCAGGCTGTATGGCTGTTCTCCTTCCACCTCTCATAAGAACTGTTGCATCCAGCATACATAATCTCTGATGGATGTTTCTTGATCTTGCAGATACTCAAATTTTGGGGGGTTGCTCAAGGAAAACTGATATATAGAAAAATTCCCACAAATATTGAAATTCACATATAGTAAACTCATACATTGCAAACTCACAGATGGCAAGAGGTTACTGTATTTATATTATCTATAGAAGCACATTTTTGTTTTTGGAACTTTAGAAAAAATTCTGCACAGCTAAAAGTTCTTTTTAATCTTACATCAAGTTCTGGGATAGAAACAAATTAGTCCTAATCATAGCCCTACATGGCATGGGTCCAGGTTACCTGAGGGACTGTCTCACCCCCATTACATTGACCCATTCCACCCAGTCCAGCAGAGAAGGCATGGTGTGGATCCCATCAGTGAGAGAATGTTGTCTGGCGGGTCCTAGGAGGAGAGCCTTCTCTGCCATTGCCCCCGCCCCATGGAATACTCTCCCCCCAGAGGTGAGGCAGGCCTCTACCCTCCCAATTTTTCAGAGGGAATTGAAGACGTGGCTCTGCCAACTTGCATGGGGTGAGGAAAGATACAATTGACCCTGGGGATGGCTGGTGCCTTGACAATACTCCCTGAGTTTATTAACACCTAAGTAACATCAGCCTCTTGGAAGTACAGTAATACCTCGGTTCACGAACGCTTCTGTTCATGAACAATTCGGTTCATAACAGCACCGTTTGCAAAATTTTGCTTCTGTTTGCGAACTCCGCATCGGGTGACGAACACGACCCGCGGCCATTTTCCCTGCTGTGACACGTGG